CAGTTTAATGGCCTCAGGAATGAACACAGGGAAACTCTGAAATTAACAAAATTAACCGCACCTGGATCTGTTTTTCAAACCCCATTAAGCTCTCAGAATTTTCTAATGTTAATTTGTGGATACTAAACGTTCTCATTCCCTTTGAATGGAATGCATTGCTTTGAGATGTGGGCAAAATGACTACTACACAGTAGACCCCAAATTGTTCTTTCGTGATCTCAGAGTACCCTATTTATATTCCTAAAGGAAGCATTTAGTTCATGAAGTCCAAAGAGATTCAGTGAGGTGAACAAGCCAGGGTTGAGAGTCCCTGGTCTTTGCAAAGTGAGTGTGACAGAGCCTCATAGAAGAAAGAGGAGGATTTCTTTCTCTAGTTTTATTTCAAAGCTACAACTTTTGGGAAGGCTTCAGTCATCCAGCCTTCTTTTAATTAGGGAACTGATCCCTAAGTCGTGTGTTAAGGTGCTGATGTGTACAAATCTTGGCCAAAACTAGAGTTCAATTGAATGGGAACGACCTGCTTTCTTTTTATTCTCCTCTACCTACGGATCCTGTCACCACACTCGAAAGATTAGACAAAAACCCTCAGCAGTTTATTTTCTTTTTGAACAAGTTACATTATGGAGGGGCTTTTAAGCTAAAAGAAGAAAAGCTCCCTCTTTGTTAGGAACAGCAGTGTGTAGTTTTAACTTGTCTTGGACTTCCTCGGAGATGTTTTAAGATCCAGTGTAAACTTGCTGTGGTTTGCCTTTGGGCATCAAACTGTTTAGCTTGGCTTTATTATATCTGTAATTGCTGCATTTTAATAATTGCCCAATATTCTTGTCAGCAATTTGCAGTCTATATTTTTAATAGAACTATTTGCCTTTCTTTTTCACACGTTCATTCAGACCTGGTTTAGCCCTGGGTGAATGTCTCACAGACCCTCTGCAGCTGTGGGCAGGGGATCACACGAGGTCATTAAATATTCCCACAAGTCTCATGCCGCTCATAGTTTATGTGGCCCATAAAAATCCTCTGGGAAGCCATCTTCTGAGATTTCCTTACAGGTTTTGCTTTGTAAAAAATTGCCTTTAGCATTGGCTGAAATAGCGTATTCTTTTAGAGAGGTTTTTCCTTATCAATCCATTTAGGAAATCTAGTATTTTGAAGGGGAAAAAATAGGGACAAGTTCTCTTTGCTGTAGTTGAGTTTTTAAGTTAACAGAGAAGATTTTCATTTTATTTGAGGTGATGTGGAATTATGGTGACAGAAATGTTGGAATTCAAGGTACGATTGAAGTCAATTTCATGGCTTCCAAATTATCTCTATAATTTAGTCAGCTTTTAAGATAAGACCACTGTGTCATCAATGACTTATGCCTCAACTTGACTGGCAGTTTTGTTCTGTTAGTGAGTTTACTCTTTAGTTTATCTCCTTTTTTT